CAGAAGACTGGAATTTGGCTGCTTACTAATCACCTTGTAAGATTGCGAGGTACCCACCTGATGTCCTGTATCAAGATGTTTGATAATTGCACTATTTAGTCTTTCTCTTGTTCTGAGGTTTGTTAGAACAAGTTCACAGTTTGAATCTTAATACTACAAATCTAACAATCAGTCCACATGGAGTACATTTATAATTATTTTAAAACGGTAACAGATCTAGATAAACCGTAGGACGCCTTACAGTTTATTTAATCTATTGAAACTGAGAAAAGCTGTAAAATAATGAAGACATGACTCATGCAAGTAAAGTCTCTTATAAAATTCAATCTGTATCTCAGTTTCAATATTTACAGTAAAACTAAGAATAGACAGATCACTAACAGTCAGAACAAAGAATTGAATAAAACAAACAGTAGTATTTCATATAGAGAAGTTGGATAAACAAATCCATCTAAAACCTAATTTTTCTCTTGTTTTTAATAGTATCTTTGTTTCAGAATAAAATGGTATGGAGTAGCAAGTCATCATAAATGACCTACTTTTTAACGAATGGTCAAAAATAATCACACCAATTACATGTCTATTCGTTCGTAATAAGTATAATAAAGAACAAGTACCACACCATATTACGTAATGATACAAGTAAAATTGAAACTTAAATACTATCCAATTGGACTTGATGACCTCATGCAAGTGATATGTGGCCAGTGGAAGTAAGTGGGATTGGCCACTAGAAGTGGACAAACAGACACTTAAATCACTATTAAATATATGATTCCTCTTATTATCATTGACTTCTACTCGGGAATTACTGAGCCTAACTACTTGTAATTGTGTTGAATATTGTCTACCTTATACTTTGGTTTTTTATGATTGGTCGTAAATCGTATGATGTGACGTAATCCAGTATGTGTATAGAAAATCGATCGGGTATCCAGTCTAGTGGTGACGCATTATAGTAACAATAAATGAGTCATAAAGTTTTAAAAAACCATACCGCCGTAATCAGACTACGTTCGAGACGGAATCTATGGATGATAGCAATGCTACAGGTGATTGACTTCATTAAACAAACAATAATGTGATATTTTACTGCTCCATTTTTTTGTACTATACTAGCAAACTAATGTCTATTATTCCGCTAAAATTATGTACATCGTTAACAACAAATTTTTAGATAAGGCAGTTAATTTGATCATTTCAAAGAAAATACAATCAACCATTTGATAGATGGTTATGCAAACAACATGGATGTAGTAACGAAACCCCGCATAATGCAAAATTACTTACTAAAAAGGTTGAGTATCTCTGCAAACGAGATCATCAGTATACAAGTGACTGACGTAAGATTGACAAATTAATATCATTAATAGTTACTAAAAATGATCCTTGTAAAAGGCAAAAAGGTAGCATGACTACAACTTGAACCAGGACAGTCGAGGGAACACCAAGAGGACAAAGATCGGACGGCCAGAAAATAAAGATACTAATAATGGTAAAAAGAACTGCACGGACCAAATACGACGATTACCTAACTTGTCTTGTACTGCCAGGAAACATAAGAAATTGACATCATACATTAATTACTTCATTTTATATATTAACAAGTCGATCAGTCTAACTAACTGATAAAACGAAGATTCGATTGAGGTCTTAAAAAACACACAATGGGATCACATTCATAATATTTATGCGGACACGCATAATACGTAGTTTATCGTATATATAGTGATCCCTTGATAAATTCAGATGAAGCGACAATATTTAAATCGTCGTTCTAACAAGGTTTCACAGACCAATTTTTAACTCGGGTTCTAGGTGATATAACCTGGAACTATTAGTAACACCTGCTGTGGTTTGGGCACCCGGGCAGTGTCACAGCATATGTACCTGGTGTCCCCTTGTACCAATATCTATGTGTTCAAATAAATAAATAATAAAAACTATTGGTAACTCTGTTTCACGTTGGACGGTAGGACGTAATTGCGTACCCATAAACCAGAGAGTTTCACACTTCTTAGTACTCACCAATGAAGTTTGATATAAACACTTGATCTAGTCGTAACTAAATTTGTATACCTGACGTATACGGATGTTCTATATATTAGGATTATATTCTCGATGTTTATCGCTCTCATTATCATTACTACTACATTATTTCAACTCCTTTACTATTAACCTGGCTAGTTTCATCTTATTACGCCAAACTGATACAACAACTTGGGCTAACCCAGATTTGTGTCTAGCTCTACGTTAATTATGGCTGACTGACTTATTTTTACGAGATTTGTTAAGTTATTCCTAAACAATCAAATTATTGACTGTATACCAGTCAAATGTTACATTTGAATAGGCTATCAGAACGCCCAACTTTGAGAAGAAATGATAAACATTTGCTCTTTGGACGATAACTCACTTTGAAACACTCAATTGTAATAGCATGCACCCTCCTATGTCTACATAAGTTGATTAAATATTCCACTTGAAGGTAGATAAAGTCATCAATCCTAAATAATGTATGATTCAAAATGAATTGACACAAAGAACGTCAACCAACATATCAAACGACTATCTGTTGCACGATCTTATTAGTTCTTTTATCACTGGGATTTTTTTTACATCTTTTCATGTCATCGGAACTACATTCGTGTGACATGATAGTAAATCCCAAACCAATGACCACCATATTCAATATCAAAATAAACCGTGAATTAGCATAACTCAGGTGAAATCATTGTCTTTATACGTGATGCTCTGAAGTCTATGTATCAAACAGGAAATACTGTGACTTGTATAGTGAAAATCGCTTTCTACCGTCTTATATACAAACGGTAAGATGTAAGTTCGAAAGAAATTAAATCTACTTTGATTATGTTCGCATTCGAAGTAAGTTCTTTCCCATACTTAGACCTAAGAATATATAAATTGTACTTTTAAAATCTATTAAGAAAAAGTAGATCAGCAAAGGAATCATTATCAGAGTTCAATTGCGGAGTTACAGCAAAGGCATATAAATACTAGATTAACTGTATAGAAATGTGCAGATCTGTGATAATAATTATTATTATAAATTGAATTTCAATTCATTTTATTCCCGAATATTTAGTTTACTTTAATGACCAAATCTTCAAATCAATGGCCTAACGAACAGAATTATATAACCAGTTTACTGGTTGAAACTCAACAGAATGAATATCAGCACGAAGTCCACAAACTGCCTGTGGATTGGTATTTAAAGCACTTAGCTCCTAACTAACAGGTTGCAAGTCCGAGCCCCACTCCGCATACTTCGACTTCAGAAACCGTGTTAGATGGAATATCAGTTAGAGAAAAAAATAAGAGGTCAAACTAAAACGTAGCATCAGTTTATAAGGTTACTGACAGTTGTGCTGAATCATACTGGCTGAAACAGATTACGTGGTTGAAGTCAGTACGACAACCGCGATCAGTGATTGGAGCCAATTGAAATTAAGTGTCCCCTAAACTTTGTAAGAACTTCAAAATGTAAAGCCAACTATAGTTCATGTGACATTTATCCACGTAGAAGATGGGTTTTATGGATTGAAATGTTCCGGTTTGATAAGGAAAAGCATAAAGAGTCACCATCGCGTAGAAACGGCATGTGATCACTAAAACATGCAAAATGCTAAATTATTCTGACGAACATGAATCAACAAAGATAGATATCTGTTTAGTTTGTTCAAAGTAACCTATTAAATAAATCCCACTAGTGATAAAATAAGAGAGACTCTTGCACTATACATATGTTAGAGTAAATCAGGATATGAATATACATAATTCATACACTGCAGTTTCAAGAAACCATTTCGCTGATCATTCAACAAGTTTGAGTACAGAGATTGTTAATGGTATGTAGGAGCATCCATTAAAATGATTCTGACCATAAAATTGTCAACTAATCTGAACAGAGGGACAAGTCACTACAGAGCGACTTCTTTCAGTTAAAGATGAATACGTTGGTTATAAAGATTTAAAACTTCTGAAATTAAATAAAAGTCGCTTATACTTCAGACATATATTAAGTTCTCAACGGTTCAGTTTCCTTATGCTTAATGGCTAATAGATTATTTATTTATTTGAACACATAGATATTGGTACAGGGGAACACCAGATACATATGCGCCACATAAATATCACTTGATATGTGTAAGGGTTGTGACACTGACCGAGTGCCCAAACCGAAGTAGGTGATTTTCTTAGGGGGCCATACCCAGCGCCTTCGACCTAAAGGTTTGATCCACAAGGCAGTGGATCGTCGTAAGGAGATGCAGTCTCATGGTAGCCGGTGACCAATAATTGGTTCATACTCCATTTGTTCACTCAGGATACTGGAGCCCATGTGCATTATTGGTTTCGAATCAGGGTTTTCCAACTTCCCTAGGTGTACCCTCCATATCCACCAACCCTGTTAAAGTGCTGGATATTCGCTATTCATCCTCTCAATTTCGTAAACAACACCCCCACCACGAGAAGGCAGTGAGTAGGACTTCCCTGGTAGTGGCTGTACGCACGTGACCATCTGAAAGCATTTCAAGAAGGAGAGTTGACTCTTCCCACTCTCGGCCGTACCAGAGCATTTGTAAGTTTCATGATCATTTTCAAAACCATTTAAAATTAGCGGTATCGAAAAATCACAGAGCTGTATCCTCATGAAGGGATTTAAAAATAACATTCAATCATAGTAATATTACAGTAGTAGAATTAATTAAAGTAGATCATCATTTCAGTGATCCGAAGTGTTTCTTCTTGATATAATTAACTGATTTTGTGGAAGCTCTATTTAAGGTACATTTATCTCTTTAACAAATGATATAGAACTGATCACGTATTTCTAAATTATGTAATCATCCTAATACTCATACCTATAAATGAATAAAGTCAGTCAGTAACAACGTAGAACTTCGTACGTACGTACATCAGTTCGAGTCATTTAAAAAAAAAAATAATAATAACATTCAATGACTGATATGGTAACTTACCTAAGAGAAGTAGTTTCACATCTTTTGCAGCTTGCATTCCATCTTCTTTAAGTTTTTTATCTATATTTCGACTTTGTTCAAGAGCATCACGCTCTTCTTTAGATAGTGTACAACCCATTTTATAATTAGTAGGGTATTATTGTATAGATTTATGTAAATAATATTTAATATCCAATATAGTTTAATGTTTTAATTATTGGTATAAAGTATAAAGGATAAGATAAGGATAAAATACAATTATTCCTTTCACAAAATATAATTTAAAGGAGTTGTTCAACTTCTCCTAATCTAGTTTTGAATATTATTGATTGAAGAATGAAACAAAGTTGTTGTATATTCCCCCCAATTGATGATAGACACTAACGTTAACAAATCAAATCTAGGCTTACTCACAAAATATTACTACTTATGGGAGAATGGTGTTACTACTTAAACAAGACACACAAGACCCAATCTTAATATATCAAATATAGATTATATATACATTAATATACATAACTACTAGATTTTGTATGTGTGTGTAGGTACATGTGTGTGTGCGTATGTGTGTGTGGTGTGCACGTTCATAATATACTTCATTTCCAATGGACCAGGTTCATTATAATAAGTAAGGCAGAGATTCTCTAACTAAAAATAGGAAAAATCTCATAGGCTATATATATATATGTATATAATATATATGTCTATACATCTTTTAAAAATCAAAAAGGAATGTGGAAAATCCAACTATCTATCTATAATCTGATCGATATGATAAGGAACAAATACAAAAATAAATTTCTCCCTATCCGTATGTCTACATGTTTGTGTATGTGTGTTTTATTAGTAATCCTAGTTTAGTTAGAAAAAAAAATAAAAAAATAAAACTTTATTCATATTTGATTGGTTGATTATGATTTTGGGGCTATATAATTTATATACTTTATCGGAACATATATATAGATTGTATTCTTATATCTGAAAAATTGTTGTCTATACCTTATTGAGATTTGAAATGTCTGGCCAAAATAAGTTTATTCCGCGTACCATTGATTTAGTTGCTATCCTAATTTTGGCCTGAAAATAAGGATTATAATAATAGTAGTAGTAGTAGTAGTAATATTGGTCCTTTTATTTGTAATATGGTTCTGGCAATTTTAAATATAGGATTGATTTAAATTTGTCTCTAGAACATTCTTTATTTGTTATTCGATTAGATGATTTTTAGATGTTTATTTAACTGTGAACATTTGATAAGCAATGGTACTTATACATGATTCACATTAACTCGGCGCCCAAATATTATGAAACCATTCGTTCAAATTTAGACGAAAGTTCTTAATTAATGGTGCATATTAGTATCTATGATACATAAAAACACTACATCAATAATTCATTACATGGTACAAGATCCAGTAGTCCTATATGATTAGTATGCGTGGAATCATTGATCAGCCCCCAAATGCCCTGGTATGGCCGAGATTGGGGAGAGTCCGCTCTCCCTCTCCAAATGCTCTCATATGGCCACGTGCATACAGCCACGACCAGGGAAGTCCTACTCACTGACTTCTCGTGGTGGGGGTGTTGTTTACGAAATTGAGAGGATGAATAGCGAATATCCAGCACTTTAACAGGGTTGGTGGATATGGAGGGTACACCTAGGGAAGTTGGAAAACCCTGATTCGAAACCAATAATGCACATGGGCTCCAGTATCCTGAGTGAACAAATGGAGTATGAACCAATTATTGGTCACCGGCTACCATGAGACTGCATCTCCTTACGACGATCCACTGCCTTGTGGATCAAACCTTTAGGTCGAAGGCGCTGGGTATGGCCCCCTAAGAAAACCACCTACTTCGGTTTGGGCACCCGGACAGTATCACAGCTTATACACATCAAGTGATTTTTGTGGCGTATATGTATTCGGTGCCCCTTCGTACCAATATCTATGTGTTCAAATAAAATAAATGAATCATTGATCACCGACCAACTAATGACATGATAAACGGTAGAATGAAATATATTATCAATAGTGCATCTAATTGTAAAGTTCGCAACCGGTACTTCAAATGTAGAAGGGTAGGTTCTTATGGAAACAAGCTATTCAATGAAGTGAAAATGATGATATGGTGAAATGATTATAGCGATTGACAGGAATCATGATTGAAGGGGTAATCATTTTAAGAAGTTTAAAATTGAGAGCTAACATTTGTACTCATTTTAGTTTCAGTTTGAAAAGGACAGAAGGCTAGGTGGTCTGTGATAGTCCTGGCAATGACGGTCTCTCAGCTGATCCAACTTTCTTTTGAAAGAGTCGACAAATGGAGCTTCAGTCACGTGTTGGGGTAATAAATTCCACTCGTTGACGATTCGATGGGAAAGTCGATAGTTAGCTGATAAGTAATTTGTCCTGGGCTTGTGAACATTTTTGGCGTGTCCTCGTAAATTCTTTGTATTGGAAGATAAGAGAAATGAGGGCATTGTATATGGAAATTCATCGCTAAGTAATTTGAAAACTGTAATCAAGTCACCTCTAGTTCTTCGGTATGACAATTGGACTAGGTTTAGTTTAGCCAGTCGGGCATCGTACAGGAGCTTTACTATTCTGGGAATCAGCTTAATTGCTGTTTAATTTGAGAACTACAAGAACTATGATTTCAACAGGATAAAATGATGTCACTCTATTTCACTTGATGCATGTACACAACCTGAATGGTTTTAACATTGAAATCACGAAAGAAGTTTAAAATTCCCACATAAATGAGTTTGTGAATACATATATATCACCATAAATGGTCAGTCTGCTTTTGGCATATGTGCATCATGTGCGAATTACCTCGATATTACCACTAACTCATAAGCGTTTTAAACAGAGATGGACGACGACTAACAGTGGAATTTACGACAGACGTTTCATCTCATTTAAGACTCGTCTGTTAGATGAACCTGCTTCCCACAGTTGAAAGTCACCCTATTGCACAAGCCAGTGGCTATATGGACTCAGTGGTTAAGTGGATAACGCTATGGGATTCGAAGTGGACGGTACTAGTTCATAGTCGCAGAGTAAATATCAACTCTAGAAACGCATGTACTAAATTCCATTGTCAGCCACCATCCATCTCTGCTTACGATATTAAATATTGTACTGATGAGGGATAGCAACTTGAACCGATGCATATATGCGCCTGGTCCTACGTTCTAGCTGATTGACTGAAAATATTCAACAAAATATAACAATCTTATATCATCGCAAAAAATAGAGTTCTGGAATTTCGATAAAGATCGTGGCAAAAACCGATAAGGGTGAAATGGAGGAGTTACGCAATGAAATGTTTGATAATTAAGAATGGGATGAATGATGCTAATCTGGTCAACAACATACTAATAACCTTGAATAAGGTTGGGTAAATGATGAAAGTAAACAAGGCTTGTACTAACGTAGTAGTACAAGGGTAAAGACTATTTCTCGTTGAGTACATAAATTGGGTTTCAGGTACTTGATAGTTATAGCTTCAGTAAATTTTAGGTTCGAGTTTCGTCGTTTATCAATCATCTTGAAAGATTTCCTAGTGTCCGTATGATTTCCTGTGAGAAAATGATGTTTAAAAGTATCTCTTATTACATACATTTATTCATCCTGAATAAATCGAAAGAATAAGCCTTTCTTTCTTTTGAGTTTGTTAGGTACATGTAAATTTCTACACACAGAAGATGATAAGATAAAACAAGAATTTTTCGAAAAAAGATTAAATTATTGAACTTATTGTTTTATGAGAAGCTGTCATTTTGGCGAAGTGTATAAAGATGTTTTCTATATTTCTGTGAATTTTTTCTATTAAGGCTAAATAATTTAAGGATATAACTTCTACATAAATTGGTTCACATGAATTATGATACAGATAGGCGTACATTGAATCAAATGACACTGAATACCCTACACTGACGAGTCCCAAATAGGACGAAACGCGCGTCAAACTGGATTCCACTCCTAACAACTATCTATTTTTGCTTAAAAAAACTTGTGACCTAAAGCTATATTGAGGCAATCCACACAAGATTCACATATGCTAACATGAGACTGATCAAGTGCAGTCCTAAATAACAATGTGAAGATACAAGTAAAACAACACCAAGTGAATTTATACAACGTTTAGTCTAATATTACGATATAATAACTTGGATGAATGAATACTTTTATTTTGACTAGATAATAGTGAGCCCAAGGTTGGTTATCTGAACTCAGTAATGTAATGTATGACATGGTGGTGATCATAGATATGATTTTTGATTTACATCCATCCTGGAGAAACCAACAGTTACTGAAATTGCCTGGAATACTGTTGGCGACTAACAAAATAAGATGAGACTCACTTTTCAAATTACACTACTAATCGTCACTGAATACCACCAATGAAAACTATCTTATTGTATTTCTTTATCAAATATTGATAACAATCATGAATATCTTCCAGGTGACAAATTAAAACAGATGTTAACTGTTATTTGTACAACTGAATGATGGACAACTAAGAACAAGGATAAATAAATAGCAGTCTAATGTTCTACACACATGCAAAAAGTAAATCAACAAGATGAGAATCAGATGTATGTGGAATGGCTCTAAACTGTAGTCCAATTGTTTTAGGATTGTAGCTAACAGTAAAATCTAGGACGCGCGTTTAATCTTATTTAAGACCCACCAGATAGATATACCCTCATCCCAGTGTTGATGAACACTTCGGGACTGAAAATCAGTGCCAATCGCTTTAATTGCCGACGTGTTATTCACTAAGCTACTTAGTTTAGATAATCACTAACTTGCGCACCACTAAATATCATGCTCGTCGAACAAGTTTATGTTCGTAGTTTTGTGAGATGTGTCGACTACTTATAAGACGCCTCATTACAATACTGTATTAAAACACGTGTTCAGCAATCGTTGTTAGATAGCTTATATCAGAGAAAATAAAATTAAAGACATCGTGAATATATGGGGTATTATGATAGATATCATCAATCATTATGAAGCGTAGTCAATTTTTGGAAAGTGATCATTTATACTATTCAAAGTAGTATATCGACGCTAGGAAAATTGCTCATCTAGATTCTATCACACAATCTGTCTTATCGGTTTCCGGACTTCACTTAATTGCTGCCTCACCCGCTCTCTATGTTTTTGAACTCCAAATGATCAAACACCTATTATTATATATATAGTTGTAATTAGCTTATGAGAAACCACGAAATATAATGGGTCTATATTATTAAACAAATCAGACTGGATTAAAAAACCCGTGTGTTAGTAAAACTACCAATGAAAAAGTGCAAAGTGAACAGTTCTAATAAGAGAAACACTGAGTGAACTAAATGGCCTCTAGATAATCTATAGTTGCCAGCTACGTACCAGAGAGTTGAATGATAGATCAATATCTGGACTCTAACCTTTAGTGGGTTTGTAAAAATCTTGTAGCAAGGTAAGGTAGGATCCAATGGCTTAATACCAGGGGCATTTACCTATAGCGGCCTAGTACTGTAGGCAATACTAAGACATTAACTAAAGGTTTAAAAGCGGATACCTACTTATCGTTGATTGGTTTAGACATGAGTCTATTACTGAGTAGCTGACATGCTGTA